CGCCTGCCTTGCAAGCGCAAGGTCCTGAGTTCGATTCCCAGTACCAAAAAAAAAAAAAAAAAAGAATGACAATAAACAAAATAGGCATTCACTCTAATAAAGTTGTAGAAAAATGCAGAAAAACTACCTCAAGGAAATAATAAAGATAAAAGCAAAAATTAATTACTTGGTAAACCTGACTGAGAAATAGTTGCAGGCATATTTTAAACAAACAAAAGTTCCTTAGTATGACATCCAAAGCCCTTGATGAGTTGGCCCTTTTGAACCTCTTAACTATAAATGACAATTCCCCAAGCATTTGACCCCAAGGGCCCAGCCACCCTGGACCCCTCGCTGTCTGAACTCAAGAACCAGACTGAGCCAGAAAAACTTTTGGGGTAGGGCTCGTATCATTGCTTCTCTGCATGCTTGTGACTTGCTTTCCACTGCCACCCTCTAGTGTTATCCACCTGCCCTGTCCAAATGCCCCCAGCCTTCCATGCTGGCTTTGTGGATCCAAACAACCACAACAAAAGCCAGCATGGAATGAGCTGTGAAGAGAATGGGTAAATACAACCTTTGTGGCCCGGCGGGTGGATGAATGTGTCAATAGGCGAGGTTCAGGCCAGCTGTGGAGGGGGAAGGGAACTGGCTGATGGAGGTGGCATTTGGCTGGTTCGTGAAGGAGAAAAGATTTCAGCCCACATGGAGCAGGGGAAAGGGCACCCCAAGATGAGGGAAAAGCATGAGTGAACACAGGGCTGTGTGGAACAGGGCAGAACCATAGGGAGAATGGTGGGATGTTCCATGTGACTGCAGCATGGGGGGCTGCTGGAGAATGAGATGGATGAGTGCGGAAAAGTCAACAGGGCAGGCCACAGAGGACTTGAGTGCCACACTGAAGGCTTATGTTTCATCCCCTGTGAGCGGTGGGGGTAGCTAGTCGCAGGACTGTGAGGTTAAAGGGGTGGAGCCATCAGTTACCTGATCCCCTCCCTCACAGGTGGGATGAAGCAGGCTTCTGGGGGAGGACAGGGGAGAGGAGGGGCAGATTCTGGCTCTGGTGGTCTGAGCAGGGTGTGAGGGGCACCACCCTGAGTCCAGTTCCCCTTACTGACCCATTTCCTGCATGCCATTCCACCTCCCATCCCAACCAGGGAGGGGCTGGGAGGCAGCTCCCAGCAGCTCCTCAGTCACTATGGAGAGTCGTGCAGCTCCATCCATCTGTTTGGCCCACCTCCCATAGCGCCTCTGTGGTCAGGTCTTTGTCTCAGCACAGTGGCCCTCTTTGTCCTCAGCAGCCTCTCTCCACCTCCCTCCTACCCTCTATCCCTTGCCTGTATTACAAGAAGCACCAGCTTTGCTGAGAGACAGGCCAGGGCTCTGATCTCGGCTTCCCCCACTGAATCTCTGTGAAATCCTAAAGAAGACACTTTGCTTCTTTGAGTCCAATAGGGCACTATTATAAGGAATCAAACTCAGGAAGAGTTGGTCAGCTATCCAATGTGTAGACTCAGCAAAAGTGATGTCCACAGGGACCTCTACCCAGCCTTCATGCTGTTCCCCAGGGCCTCCTACTTATTCCTCCCACCTCATCCTCACCCTGCCTGATCAGGTGGCTACCATTCTCCCATTTGACACATGAGCAAAGCAAGGCTGGGAAACAGGACTGGCTTCCTGGGAGTATGGCCTATACAGTTATGGCCATGCTTTGAAGGTCTCTACTTGGTTTAATACTCTGCTGTTTCCAACTTGAAACTTAGTAATTTTCGAACAAGAGGCGCACATTTTCATTTTGCCCTGGGTCCTGCAAATTACAAAGCTGCTCCTGCTCTGGGGGAGGTAGAGCTTAGTCCAGGCTTCCTGCTATGGAGGGCTTCATCCCTTGGTAGCTGCATCCTGGCATGCCAGGCTGCGCTTGGCATCACAGTCCCAGGCACTGCCTGGGAAACTTGAGGAGCACAGTTCCTGCCATAGAGGGAGGGAAACAGTGCAGGCCCATGCAGCGATTCAGGCATCAAGGAAGACAAAACTGCTGGAATCAACCCAGCCCTGTGTAACCAGAGCCCTCAGTGTAGGTCCCAATGCTATGGGCCAGCCATCACTGGGGAACCCAGCAAGGCCTTCCTTCCCAGCAGGGTGCAGTTTCAGGGCCAGGGTACCCACCAGACTCACTGTGTGACTTTGGAGTTTCACTTCCTCTTTGTGAGCCTGTTTTCCTATATGTAACATGGGAATAGTAATGCCTACCTCACAGGTGAGGATTAAGTGAGATACATAACATGATTGATAGCACAAAGAAGATGATCACTAAAGAATTCTTACCACAAGATACAGAAGCTGTCCACATGACAAGGACAGTGCTGAGTACTAGACATAACTGTGCACAGCATGGACTCTGCCTGCCCTCAAAGAGATCCTCATTTTTCCCCCTTTAGGGAAGGGGAATAGACAGAGACATGGAGAGGGACAGCAATATGGCAAGGGTAGAGCACCTGGAAGGGGAAGCAATGAACCAGAAAGTGGAGGCCAAAGGCAGAGAAGCATAAAGGGGACACTCAGAGAGGGAGTAGCAAACTTTAGACAGGAGGTGGGCAAGGGCTCAGCATGTCTACTGAGAGCCAGAAGGCTAGGCAGGCGGTGGGAGGCCTGGAGTGGCAGGCTGGAGAGCTGGGTTTCACTTTGAAGTTCTTGGGATAGCAGTGAGGGGTAACAGAGACATTACCCCAGCCAGGCTGGAGCCTGAACTAGGGAGAGGCTCTACTCCCAGCACTGATTCTCAGAGCAGGTTTTCTCAGGGGAGATGAGAGAAGTCGAGAGAGGAAAAATGAGAAGGCCTGCATGAGCCAAATGCCTCCGCAGGGCTGAAAAGACAGGAAGCCTCCTAATGCATGGGGGAGCAAAGGCCGGGGCTTTGCCCTTCCCCCCTGACCTTCTGTGCTAATGGAACCCTCCCTATGCCCCCTTGGCTCCATTACCCACCTCAGAGGGACCATTACACTGCCTGGGCCTTCCTTCACTACTAGCCCGCCTTGGCCGCTGGCTTCACGGGAGGCTTCTTCAATGCTACTCTACCCCTTTGGCAGGTGCTTGTGTGTGACTCACTAGGTCTCAACTTCCTGGTTGGATCAATGGTTCGAAATTCTTTTAGTCATAGAATCTTCTGTGTGCTTTCAACAAATTTTTACCAGGAAATGTAAATAAGTAAAATCATAAAAGCAAAGGTGCTTAAGTTGAAGCCAAATGGGGACTCTCTGGGTTGTACAAAGGGGGGGACTCTGTTGAGGATGTGCTAGATTTGATGACCTCCAAAATCTCATCATGGAAATGCCTAGAGAAGTGTTGGGGAACCTGAACTTCCAGCCCCTCATTAGAGGAGATACTAGCTCCTCAAACCTGGGAAACTCAGGATGGATGATGGGCAAAAAACTGAAAAAAGGAACTTTAGACAGGCCAGCAGATAAGGAATATTATTACTCTATTTTGTGGAAGAGGATCCTGGGGCTCAGATAGAAATTACAGGAGAGATGAGACAAGACTTTGGGGTTCTAGGACAAGGCTCTTTCCTCTGCTTTCCAGGCCTAAATCATCTGATGTGGCAGCTCAGACGCCGTGTATCTCAGGGATGCAGTTTCTTTGGCTGTACAGTAAAGAAGTTCGACCATAGCAGGGGAGGCAGAGCCTTGGACCAGCCACTATCCAGTGTATTTGCTGCAAGATAAGACCAGCCCTGGATCCTCATCTTGGAATTCAAGGGATATTTTTCTCCTGGGAGAAACAGCAGTGACCATAGAAGGTTTGATACCTTTGGAGGAGGGGGGTTGGTTGGGGCTCCAGGGCCCAAGGGGATTTTCCCACACTGGGACCCTAAAGCTTGGGCCCCAAAATTTAGGATCCTGGGGATACTTAGGTCCCTGGAAGCTGCATGTGCCAGCTGAACAGGTGGAGGAGGCTGGACAAGGGCCCTTTGTGTCTCCCAAGCAGAGGTCCCAAGGGACAGCAGGGGCAGCTCAGCCACACAGCACTGTGTGTCCACCCTGCTCTTACACACAGTCAGCTGATCTGAAGCTTGCAGGGACCTAGGCAAGCTCCTTGGGCCATAGAAGAGGCCTGCTCTGCATTTGTCCAGCCCCTGGACCATCCTAAGAACCAGTGGATAGACACTGGGAGGTGTATGAGTGTGACTGGCTTCATTTCAGAAAAAAAGATCATGAAAAGGACTGGAACTGTATCAAGGTCTCTCAGTTAATGCTGAAGCTGGGTCCAAACCTGCACTCTTGACTCCTAGACCAGAAATGGGGCAGGGGCAGTCATTCATTCATCCAATCTGCACCTTCAGGCATTGAGGACCTCCGGGGAACTCTGGGACACAGTAGGGAGAAGGCAGACCCCTCTCCGTGCTCCTGAGCTCAGAGTAGGAAAGGGACAGAAACAAGGTCTGTGACTTACAGAAGGCAAGCAGACTGGGATGGAAGGCAGAGAAAGAAAGAAAAGCTCAAGATGATGAGAAACCAGGAAATATGGGGAGTTGGAGGACCTGCTGGTGAGATGAAGGAAGGAAAGAGGAGCATAGAGGAGGCTCCCTTCACCCCCTCAGGAGCTGGAGGGAGGCAGGAGCCTGAATGCCAGCCTGTAATGGCGTTCGCAGCATAGTACCCTAACCTGGTCCCTCCAAGGCAAACCAGGCTGGGCCAGAAGCAGGGCGGAGGCTTCGACTTGGCGACAAAGTTCCTATGGTGGGCAGCGACAGGAGCCTGTGCCACGCCGGCACAGGGCAAGCCCTGTAAAACTTGGGCGTCTTGAAAACCCGCTCCGGGCTCCAGTGAGCGAGGAGCGAGTATTCTCCCCGCCCAGGCTATGGGACGGTCGCCTCGCGCCCCTCCCTGATCCCCTCCGGCGCCGCTGGGCGCCGTCCACAAGTGGGTGGCAGGGTGACTGCTATCTATCGCGGCGGGTAGGGGGCGGTGCCAGGGTCTGTCCAGAGTCCGCCCGCCCCTCCTGGCCTGGGCGAGGGGTGGGGCGCTCGGTGGGGCGGGGCTCGGGCTCCGGCAACCCGGGGCACGTGGGACCCTGCGCAGCGGTGGGACGCGGGCGCGAACACCGGGAACGGCGGCGACAGCCTTGGAGAAGAACGAGCTCAGCGCCGAGGTGAAGGGAGGGCTGCCTGGAGGAGACCGGACACTCAGAGAGGTCGGCGGGCGCGGCCCGGGGAGGCGGCTGGTCCGACTGGCTCGGGTGCCGACTCAGCTGAGTGCAGGGAGAGAGCAGTGTGCGTGTGGCCGTCTCACTGGGGCGCCTACAGCGCATAACTGGACAGTGTAAGCACGCTATGGATCCGTATTGAACTTGGTCTTCCTGGAGCGTAGTCTCGGTGAGTGAGGACGGATTCCCTGTTAGTGTGTGTGTGTGTGTGTGTGTGTGTGTGTGTGTGTGTGTGTGTAATATTGGGGAATTCGGCGTGTTAGGGGATGAGTGCACGCGCCTGAGTGGTAAGAAGCAGAATTTACGGAACTTGTCTGTGTGTGTGCTCTGGTGGGGGCGCCCCTGGGGCGTGAGGGCGTGGTCTGAAATCTGGGCGCTCCCAGAGACCTGCGGCACACCCAACTTGCTCCGAGGGTCACTCTAGGTGGCCCTCCTGCCCTGGGCGACGGTAGGCCTGGAAAGGCAGGAACGAAGGAGGACAGTTAAGACTTTAATCTGACGGGAGACCTTTAATCTAGCAGGTAACACTGTAGGAAGGGTCAGTCCGGAGAAAGGCAGAGTGCCCCCACATCATGCTGCTAGTGCCAGGCTTGGAGCCCCCCAGGAGGCAGGCACGAAGGCCAGGCCCTACTAGGAACTATCGCTGCAAGTTTGGGATTTATGGGGCCAAGTGACTACCTTTCCTGGGCCCACAGCCTCGTTTGGGATCAGGAATGAGCTTTTGAGGTTCAGGCTGGGGCCCCAGGGAAGTCTCAGTTATCTGTGGGTGGGAATGGGAGAAAGGAGATTCTTTGGCCAGCCAGCCTGTAAAAGGAGGCCAGCACCTGCAAGTGAGAGCAAGACCTGTCCCTCTTCCTCTCCTCCCTGCTTTGGGCTGACCCAAGGTACAGAATAGGAGCTGGGATATGCGTGTGGGAATGGTGAGCAACCTCCAGAAATGGCTGCTGAGCTTGGCCGGCAAAATGAGGCTGTGGCCTCTCCATTCCTGTCCTCCTCTTGCCCAGGATGTACACGGCTCTGAGGCTACCAGATCCCCAAGGACCACCTAAGAGAGCGTGAGGGTATCCCCAAGGCCTCATAAGTGACTCATGAGAGCACTGATTTTTGTGGCTTTATATCTTAGGACATTGTGCCTCTCTAGGTATTAATTTTGAGATTGATATCTTTGCCTCTTCAAATGCAAGGTTGTTTATGAGGATTCTTATAGAGATCAGGAAAGGGGCCTGGTGTGTGTGTGTGTGTGTGTGTGTTGGTGGGGATGGAACCCAAGGCGATCCTCTACCATTGAGCCACATTCCCAGCCCAGTAAAAAAAGGGTTTTGTGAGCAAAGTGCAATGCACACAGAAGTGTAATATTCCATAGATTTAAATGCCCTTTGAGGATTCTAATAGGACACCATGCAATAGTGAAGGATTGTGCTGTTTATTGAAATTTAATTACTGAATGTCTTCCTCTCCCTATCCCTCCTCTGCAGAGGTAGCTTACTAGTAACAATTTACAAGAATCCCTCATTTTATCCTCCAGTGACCTGGTGAGGAAGGAACTCTTATCTCCACTTTGCAGATAAGGAATTAGGTGCTTGGAGAGTATCTTGCTCAAGGTCTCAAAACTCCAGTGAAACCTGGAGCCCTTGCTTACCTGCCCTTCCTGTCTGAGACAGAAGGCCCACCTTATGAGGCTGATCCTCTGGCTTCCAGGCTGAAGGGTGTTTGAGTCTTGCCCTAGGAACCTGTCTTTGGGGCTTTCTTGTGGCCCTATTACCCAGCTGCTGCTAAGATGACACCTGCCCACGGCTGCTTATAGAACCCGAGAAGACTTGCTGATCTGGGGAGGGGAGAAGGAGATGCCCCTAATGAAATCTTCCCTCTCCTCTAACTGCCTCCCGAAGACCTGTCTGGTATACCCTTCAGGCCACAACTTCCTCTGGGGCTGCCTTTTGGTCCTCAGAGCTGGCTGTGGGGCCCTCCTTGACCTCTATACCCACCCTAGAGAAAGGCCAGTTCAGAATGAGGTCAAGCCATCCCTGTTTTCTCATGCTGTCCCTGTTACCTGGCGCAGGTTGGTCACAGAGCAGGTGGCAGGAAGTGTTTGATAAATGAGTGATCAAGTGGAATGCCTTGCTCCATGGAAAGCATCAGAGGGTTCTTGAGCAGAGGAGTGCTTGCACTGTGCTGTCTCCCAGTCTCCAAGGCCTGAGTCATTCTTGGCCTGAAATCAGTAGCAGAAGTCTCTGACAGGAGGGTTGGTACCCTGAGCTCTGGTACCCCGTTAACTGTCCTTGCAGCTCCCCAAAGGAGAGGCCGGGGCACTGATGGCCTCTTTCAGACATACTGGTGTCACTTCCTGGTGAGTGCACAGCCTCCCTGTCCAGTTTGAAGGTGGAAGATTCTTCCCATGGCTGGACTGTGGGCATGAAGGGACGCATGCCACCTCGCAGGGAGTCTAGAGCCAAGGGACAGCTCTTCTTACCACATCTTTGTATGTGTGATCCCCTCCCTTGTCTCCCTCCCTCCAGACACCCCAGTCCTAGCCACCTTCCATGTGACACCATCTTTGTGAAGGTCAATGCTGACCATGTCCTTCTCTTAAGCCTTAATAGAGGCCAAGCTCCTCAGCCTGCCATATGAGCTCTTTCATATGAGTTCTTCTGCCCCCCACACAGTCCATCCTCCTAACCTCCCATGCCAGCCCCATGTGACCTCCTGGCCTTTCCCAGAAGGCAGCACTCCTACCCCGAGTCTTGGCAGTTGCCTCTCCTTCTGCCTTCAATGCTCTCCCATCTCTCTGTTCACCTAACAAATCCTTAATCGCCTACCAAGTCCCAGCTTCTCTGGGAAGCTCTCTGGCCACCTTTGCCAGGCTGGGGAGTTGCTGTGGGCTCTGTGGCCCTTGGGCTTCCCTTGGCTGAACCTTAATCACCCAAGTAGACTCGATCCATGTCTGTGAAGTTGGGCACACAAGAGCATTGCCAAGTATTTATTGGGACTTCATGGCTTCTAGGAATGTGACTTATGACTGTGTTAATACTAAATGCAGACTTCTGTGGTTCTGAGAATCCCAAACCAAAGGGAATCAGAAGCATGAGCACCAAAATGAATTCCCTCCCCAAACCTGGCCCTCTTGGGATCAGATGCTGAGAATCAATGAACTTGAAGGGCTGAGAGGGGGATAATCTCAGCTTTGCAGACTTGCACATCTCCTGTTCTTTGCTTTTGTCCCTTTTTCCATCTGCCTTCTCTCATTTTTCTCTTGCCTCCTAAGCTGGACCCTTTGTGGTCCTCCTCAAACCAGTATAGCTTCTCTTGCAGGAGTCTCCCTGACTGCTCAGACTGCGACATCTGCCCCTTTGCTGGAAACACTTGGGAGGGCCCCTGCTGAGGACGGTGAGCTCCTGAAATTTAGTGTCCCTCCGTTGTGACGGGCACATGCAGCCAGCACATCAGGACAGTGTATGATTTGCTAATACCATGGAGTGCCCACCTAGCCCCTTGTCTTTCTCATTCCTCATGAGCTGTCCTATGAGGTAGTGATTCTCCCCATTTGACCGGTGAAGAACTCAAGGATCAGAGAAGGGTCTGACTTGACCAAGACTGCACAGCCTAGGTGGTTCCAAGATGTAGCATAAACCTAGAATTTTTTTTTTGCCTCTGGTCTGGCTGGAGGCATTCCCATGTGATAGGTTGGGGTGGAGAGCAGGGTTCTGAGCCTGTTCAATTCAATAGCTGTCTCTATAGCCCTGTGCAGGGGCTGGGCTGGGCTAGGGTGCAGTGGGAAGGGTGGTTTGAAGTTCTGCCTTGGTTGAGTTTCCTGATCTGAGACCACCCAGTCAGATGCTCTAACTTCAGCCTCAGTGAGTAGCCCTCAGAGCCGGGATCCTAGGGGAGTCCCAAGAGGGAAAGCGCCTTGGGGGGAGGGCGAGAGAGCCCAAGGGTCTCCAGGAGGGGAAGCATCATGCCAACATTTGATAGCAGCTGAGGCAACATCTGAGGTCATGCCTCAGCTGTTTTCCCAGACCAGTCATCGTGCGCTTGGTACAACACGTCAGGCAAGGCTGGGGGACCTGCTGGCCTTCAGGCCTTGGAGGACGTTTGGGTGAGAACAGGGGGCTACTTCTAAACTCCTAGCCCTAAACAGCCCACCTGCTCTCCACTGCTCTCAAGCCACAGGGATGATTAACAGTCCTGTTGACTGTGCTCTGGCTTTTGCTTGCTCTCCTGCTTCTTTCTCTCCCCCCACCTGACTCCCACCCATTGTCCAAAATGCAAATCAGCAGCTCCACACAAGGAAGGTAAGCATTATGTTTTGCAAGCACATACTAATAAAAAGAAATAAACTAAAAAAACAGGAAAAAATGAAACTTGTAATACCACCAGACATAGTAGCACATGATTATAGTCTCCACTATTGGGAGGCTGAAGCAGGAAGATTACTTAAGCCCAAGAGTTTGAGACCAGCCTGGACAATGTAGCTAGACCCCCATCTCAAAACAAACGCAAACAAAAACAGAAAAGAGATATGAAAAACTCACATAATGAAACTATAAAAATTTACTAAAATGGAAGGAGCGATAAGCCCTATTCCTGGATGGAAAGACCAAATTTTCTAAAAATTGCAATGATTTCTGCAATCAGCCAATAAAAATAAATCACTTATGATCCCAATTCTAATTTTCAAAAAAATTAAATGTACTCTAAATCAGTACATTTAATTCTTTTTTTTTTTTTTTTTTGTGGTACCGGAGATCGAACTCGGATCCTTGTGCTTGAGCAGCAGGCGGCAAAACCACTGAGCTAAATCCCTGGCTCTAAATGTATTGATTTTAAATCACATTTTAAAAGAAAAAATGAAGGCCAAGGGTGCTGGCACACATCTGTAATCCCAGCACTCTGGAGGTTGAGGCGGGAGGATTGCCTTCTGGGATACACAGTGAGTTCAGAACCAGTGTGAATTATATAGCAAGAGCTCTTCTCAAAAAACCAAAAAAAAGAGAGAGAGAGAGAAAGAAAAACATGAGGAACAGCTCTCCCTACTAGCTATCAGTCTATATTCTAGAAGTAAAAGAATTAAACCAACTTAGTACAATTGTGGAGTTGCACATGAGAAGAGGAACAAGAGATAGAGTAAGGAAAAGGAGGAGACGAAGGGGAAGTAAAATGAATTAAGGTGTGTTGTGTACATGCACCAACTTCCCACGAAGAATGGAATCATCATGTACTGCAAACGTGTATTAATCAAAAAAAATTTTAAACAAACAAACAGAAACCTCAAAATGCTGGTCAGGTGTCCTCTCCTCTAAGAAGTCTTCCCTAGCTACCCATTCATTCCTGCTAGGGACTTCTGTGTTGTCCTTCGGGCCTGATCACCCTGAGGTGTCACTGCTTGTTTCTGGTGTGCCTTCTGCACCTTGACAGCGACCTTCTTGGAATCAGGAAGAGTCTGACCTCAGAGTCCCAGGCGCCCTGCACAAGGACAGACATAGATATGGCCACCTCTGTGAGGGTGAGAGGGATGCAGGGTGAAGGGCTTCTGGCTCCTGCTGGGGGTCCCTGCACTGCTTCTCCCTGAGGATGGCCCTCAGCATGAGAAACGACCTGTGACCAATTGCTGTGGCTTTGCTACTTAAAGCCCTGCCCATAATTTCTGTGGGACTTTTTGTCCCTACTTGTCTTCCTGAGATACCCCCACTCTTCCTGCCTTCCCTATATGGTCATCTATTATTATTTCATAAAATGAGTTTAAATCAGGTTGGGGTATAGCTTAACAGTAGAGTGCTTGCCTAGCGTGCAGAAGGCCCTGCGTTTGATCCCCAACATAGGAAAAAACAAAAGTCGAAATCATCATCTCATATAACTATCTCAACAACCTTGTGGGACAGGTTCCATTATTCTATTAAGAAATTGAGATTTCAATTTTGGAATTGAAAGACTTGTCCAGTTCCTACTAATGGGATTGGCAGAACTGGGATTTCTCTGTTTCCCCTTGTGGCATCCTTCCCTGGCAGAGATAGGCAGCAGGGGTCTCCAAGATGGTGACAGGACACAGCCACCAGCCAGGCAGGCACATTCCAGAACCACTCTAGTGGAGGAGCTGGAATGTTGTCAAACTGCCAAGGAAATTCCTGAGCCAGCCTGGGAACTGCCCTGGCTCCTCCTCCTGGCTTTGGGTTTAGTAGCCTGAGGCTACACAGAGAAAGACCCATACTGGTGCTTTACATGCAAGGTCTGGTTGTGCCCTTGATGCTCTGGTGATCTTGGTAAGACCTTGAGCTACTTACCCCTTTCTGGCCTTAGTTTTTCTACTTGTGAAATGGGTGTAATAACCATCCCCACCACTTAAAACTGGGGAGATATTAAGAAAAGTAAATGCTGGGCCCTGCTTGCCAGATGCTCCTCTGCTGGACACCTGATCAGACAAGCATCGGTATGGGGCTCAAAGAGACAGTCAGGGAGCTTCCTGGGGACAGGGCCCAAGAAGTAGTGGTCAAGGGCATAGCTTCTGAAGTCAGGGTAGGAAGTAGTGGTCAAGGGCACAGCTTCTGAAGTCAGACCAGAGCTCCCTGCCATTTGCTAGCCTTGTGACCCTGGAGAAGTGAGTTAGCCTCTGTGAATCTCCATATTAAATGGGAAGAGATACATAAACTTGGCACAACACCTGACTCTTGTTGTGATATAGGTGTTACAAAATGGGAAGCTGCTGGACATACTAGCACAAGCCTGTAATCTCAGCACTCAGAAGGCTGAGGCAGGAGGATTGCTGTGAATTTGAGGCCAGCCTGGGCTATATAGTAAGTTCAAGGCCAGCCTGAGCTACATAGTGAGACCCTATCTAAAATAAATAAATAAGGACAGGGATTTAGCTCAGCGGCACAGCATCTGCCTGGCAAGTGCAAGGTTCTGAGTTTGATCCCTGGTGCCAATAAATAAATACAAACAAACAAATAAATAACACAAACAAACAAACAATAAATAAATAAATAAGGGAAACTGCCCCTGGGCAAGATACGACCAAGGGAGTGCTTGTGCTGTGCTGAAAAGGAAGAAAGAAGGTGGGCGTGTGTTCTCTGGAGCAGTGGCAGAGACCAGGTCAGCTAGGCCCTTGAGTGCCAGGCCGAGGAGCTTGGATATTAACATGAGAGCCCTAGGGAGCTGTGGAAGGGTTTGAAGCCCCCCGAGAATGTGCTCAGATTTAGTGACTGCAGTGTGCAGGTTAGACAGGTGCAGAGGGGCAGAGACAGAGGAGCGAGACTCTAGGGTGGAGCACAGCTGAGGAACTTCACTAGTAGTTCTTCGGGGACTTGGTGAGTGATGGGCTTCCAGTGGGTGAGGGAGAGGGGCTGCAACCTACAAGGATGGTGGAGGTCCTTCTCAGAAAAGAGAGAATGAATTTGAGAAAGTGGCATTTCCCCCTCCCCTGAGACTCTGGAGAGTGCCTGGGTAGAGCAGGGTGAGAAGGTGACGCTTTTCACCTTGTCATTAGACTCTAGAGTAGACAGGCAGATAGCAAACAGCCTGCTGGCCCATGTCAGCCTGAAGAAGCTGGGCAAGTTGTGACAGGTAAACAGTGACCAGAAGCCCTTCCCAAGCCCCATCCTGGCCCTATTCCCACAGCCTCCACCCACTTGCACTTGTGTACCCAGCCTCAGCTATCCCAGATCCCATTCATCTGTTCTGGGGAAATGAAAATGAGAAAAGCTCATTCCAGAAAGGGACCTTCTTTTCCCCATCCTGTGCCTGAGGTCCTGATGGGCTGGGACCTGCCATCCCTTCACTGAAGCCCTGTGTGTGATGTGTGTGAGGGACTCACAGGTGAGACAAAACCCAGGGCCAGAGTAAAGAAGGCTGGGCTCTGTCCTGGCTCTGTCCTAGGGCTCCTTCGAGGCCTTGGGCCTAGGTTTCCTCCTCTGTTAAGTGGGGGTTTGGCACAGATGATTTACAAAGACTGTTTCGGACCTGACTAGACCAACAATGGCAAACCTTTTAGAGCTTTCAATGATACAAACAGCCTGCTGCAGCATGCGTGCCATAAATTGACCACCACTGGTCTAGACAATGCCAGTATGCGTGCTGCAAGTGCACCTGAGTGTGCTAGGTGTGTCTGTGCCAGTGTGTGTTTAGGTGTGATGTGCGTGTGTTTGTGCCATCTGTGGCAGAATGCCATTGCCTAGGAGTGGAAGTGGGGAAGAAGGAGGCTCTGGATAGAGACCTGGCTTAGGCAGAGTTGTACGGGCAGAAGTACTATAGAATGCCTGCTGGGCATGGAGGATATTGACAAGTCTCCTGCTGTGAGGCTAAAGTGCAGAACCAGGATTGTGGGAGGGGACATTGGAGGCTGCAGGATATCGGGGAGAGAGAGCTTCCCCTACAGAGCCACCACGTGTGAAGGGGGATACCTGGGAAGGAGCTGGGAGCATCTCATCCCTGGAGCAGGTGAGCTGGCGGTAGAACATCAGGGCAGGGGTGTAGGTGTGCAGAGGGCACTCTGACCAGGACAAGCACATGAGCTCACCTCTCTCCTCGTTTGGAGCCAAGTTTAGAGCAGAGAAGGCAGCCCTGGGAAGGCTTGGCCTAGCTGACTTCCTGCATCCAGGAGCCACCCAGGTCACCATGCCCACCTCCCTGTGTTTGCAGGAGCCCCCTTTGGCAGCTGCTAGTCCTGAAAAATGCTGTAGGCTGGGTGTGGCCTGGTCCAGGGAACCTGTTTTTCCTGTTTCCCACAGAGCTCCCTGCAGCCGGTCCAGACGCACATTCATGAGTGAGGAACCTGAGCCTGCACTGAGCATCCCAACCCAGAGAGCAGGGGCTGATCAGGTACAGGTGTGCAAGGTGGGGCAGCCCTACAGGCTGGGAGGCTGGGCAGGTTAGCTCGGGTTAGCTTGGGGGAATTCTAAGGCAGGTACCTTTCCCTGCTCTTTTATCCCAGGGTATAAGGAATTAGGGCTTTGGAGCCAGATAGCACTGGGTGTCCTACCTGGTTTTTCCAATTCTTGGCAGTGTGACCTAGAACAAATAGCTTAATTAACGTTTTCTCTGGCAGTATCTCCCAAAGGGTGGGGTGGTGGATGCCTGAAGCTGCTCAACCCAGGTCTGGCCTCTTTTGAACAGGAAGGGTAGGAGAGGGGACCCCAGAATGGGGAACACCTGATCAGACTGGAGCCAGAGATAGGCAGATAAAAGCATGTGGCTGGCCTCTGACAGCTGGCCTACCTCTGGAATTCATATACCTGACTTCTTTGGTGTTTCCCTGACCCATCTGGGCTCCTGCAGCTGTTGAGGGAGACAGTCCAGGTGTCCATCTGGGACAAGAGAAGGCCCCAGGTGCGTCAGACTCCCATGAGAGCTGGGCTACCCATGGCCATCTAGACTCAGCAGCTGAGAAATCTGTAAGCACCATTGTCCTCCTATAGGCTTTCCAATGAGTAAGGGAAAGGAGAGGTACCATCAGCTCCTCTGGGCTCCCATAGCCCTTGTATTTGCTTCATTCATTTTCTCTTTCCTGCACTCATTGCTGTGGGACAAGCCTCTTACTAAGTGATAGGGACAGAGAAAAGCATTTGATGGAGCCAGCCCTCAAGGAGCACCTAGAACACATTGGGGTGAAAGGACAAATTACCAGCAAGGCCTGAGGATAGCCAAAGGAGGCTGTGATAAGTGACCTGGTGATAAGACATCCTGGCCTACCCCCACCAGGCCATCTGGGGACTCCATCACTGTGGCCCTGGTCCAGATTGACCCTGCTTCCAAGAGCCTGGAGGGAGGGATGGGATGGAGTACAGTTTGGGTGGCTTCTGGAAAGGCTTTCCAGACAGAAAGCCCAGCAGAAACAAAGGCAGGGAAGCCCTGGACCCTCAAAGGGCTCCTTCTAGACCCGGAACTCTGGAGTGGGGCCAATGAGTGGTGAGAGGGGCTAGTGACAAAGTCAGGAAGAGCAGCCTCCACAGAGCTCAGGATGCAGTCACAAAGGCAGCTGGGGTCAGGAGAGGGAGAGGGGAGGCCTGAGGGAGAAGGCAGAGGACTGAGCTTGTTCCCCTAAAGCAGAGGTTGGGGACTTAGGAAGATGACTCACAGGTTGGTGAGCCAACCGGTGGAGGGAAAGGGTGGGCAGGGTCAGTCTGGACCAGAGCCACAGTGATGGAGTCCCCAGCTGGCCTGATGGGGTTAGTCCAGGAAGTCTTCAAACAAGTGGAAGAGACAGCTCCCTAGGTGCACAGCAAGGTGGGGAGGTCTCCATCCTCTTCACAGTGTCAGAGATTCCATCATTAGTGACCAGCAAGAAACTGTGTAGGAACTATGACTGAAAGATGATCCCATCCCTGAGGAGGGCAGCCAGCTCAGCACTGGGGCAGGAGCAGAGCAGCAGTGTAGGGGGTGACAGTGAGTGCCTACAGCATGAAGGAAGTGCCCACCCTATCTCACTGAGGCATAGTTTTCCCCTGAGGGAAGTTTGGCGCTGGAGTTCTCCAGGGGTGAGGAATTTTACCCAGGAGAGGTCTGAGACTCAGGAAGGTCTTCCCACCTGGACTCTTGCTGTGATTTCCAGCCTGCCTCCTGGGGACTTTTTGGGACACATCTGTGCCCTTTGGGGCATCATCTTTGTCCCCTGCCTCCCAGCTGGGAGAGTTCTTACTGGTCACAGCTGGGGTAGGAAGGAGAGGAAGGTGGCAGCCTACCCTCCCCAAGCATTCACTGTCTGCTGGGTGGTCAGACCCCATAGGGTGATACATGTTCACTAGGGACAAGGTAGGGGACCCTTAGGATAGCAATGGTGTGCAAAGAGAATCAGGGTAGCTAGGGAAGAACCTAAATTTGCCCCATAAAATAACCTCTACTCCCTATCCTCAGTTCCACCCCAGACTTCCCCAGAGTCTTCAGGAAAGTGACTGTCCCATCTGGTAACCTCACAGGCTGGAGGGACTGCTGAGTGCAGTTATAGAAAGTGACAGAATATAGGAATACCTCAATCAATCAATCAATCCATCAAACAACCAAGAGAATGAATGATGGAAGAGGGAGACTGTTAGAAATTCTTCAGCTTTCCCAACTTTGGCCTTCGAAAGCTAAAGGAAGAATGTTGTGGTGCTCCCAGGAGGTCTGGGCTGTCCCAGCCAGAAATGCCTCAGCAGGCAGGGATGGGCACTAGTGTGCAGTGGAGTGGACCATCCTTGAAGGCTCCTCTCCAGGAATCCAAAATTATACATCCGCGTGACCGCCAGGTCCTCCAATTTCAGAGCTCAAAGCCTGGCTCTCAAATTCTCTGGTCCTGAGGTTCTAGAGCAAGGTCAACACTATTTTTAAAGGTCAGAGAGTTGATAATTTAGGATGCACAGGCCATATGATCTTTATCACAATTGCTCAACTCCTTAAAAACAGATAGGTATTGTGTTCCAGTAGAACTTTAATTACAAAAACAGCCTGGTGGGATGGATTTGGCCCCTGTTCTAAAGTTTTAGAAATATATATATATTTTCTAATATAATAGAATTACATATTATACATCATTATATATTATATGATTCTGGTATAACAGAATTATATATATAATATGATTGTGCTATTCATGGGCTTCATGCAGCCTTGCTCCATGGCTTGGAGGTTCTAGGTGCAGGGAGAGATGGCAACAAAGGCTGTGGATATGGTTGGGAAAGTCTGTGGGCATTTCGAGCCTTGGTCAGGTGGGTTTCAGGCCTCTCTGCCGAGGCCTAGCCATGACCTTCTGGCTATTCCTCCTATCCCCTTCCCTGCAGGGTGATGGCTGTGGACCCGGGCCCCTGGAATGACACCAGCAACAATACCTGGGATGGGGATGAGCTGGGCTACAAGTGCCGCTTCAATGAGGACTTCAAGTATGTGCTGCTGCCAGTGTCTTATGGTGTGGTGTGTGTGCTTGGGCTGTGTTTGAACGTCGTGGCGCTCTACATCTTCCTGTGCCGTCTCAAGAGCTGGAATGCCTCCACCACATACATGTTCCATCTGGCTGTGTCCGATGCACTGTACGCAGCCTCCCTGCCGCTGCTGGTTTATTACTATGCCCACGGTGACCACTGGCCCTTCAGCACGGTGCTCTGCAAGCTGGTGCGCTTCCTCTTCTACACCAACCTCTACTGCAGCATCCTCTTCCTCACCTGTATCAGCGTGCATCGATGCCTGGGCATCCTGTGCCCTCTGCGATCCCTGCGCTGGGGCCGGGCCCGCTATGCCCGCCGAGTGGCAGTGGCCATTTGGGTGCTGGTGCTGGTCTGCCAGGCACCTGTGCTCTACTTTGTCACCACCAGTGTGCGTGGGGCCCGAATCACCTGCCACGACACTTCAGCCCCCGAGCTCTTCAGCCACTTCATGGCCTACAGCTCCGTCATGCTGGGCCTGCTCTTTGCAGTGCCCTTTGCCATCATCTTGGTCTGTTATGTGCTCATGGCACGGCGGCTGCTCAAGCCAGCTTATGGGACCACAGGAGGGCTGCCACGGGCCAAGCGCAAGTCGGTGCGCACGATTGCCCTGGTGCTGGCTGTCTTCGCCCTCTGCTTCCTGCCTTTCCACGTCACCCGCACCCTCTACTACTCCTTCCGCTCACTCGATCTCAGCTGCCACACTCTCAACGCCATCAACATGGCATACAAGATCACCCGGCCACTGGCCAGCGCCAATAGTTGCCTTGACCCCGTGCTCTATTTCCTGGCTGGGCAGAAGCTTGTCCGCTTTGCCCGAGATGCCAAGCCACCCACAGACCCCACCCCTACCACCCCTGCTCGCCGAAGGCTGGGCCTGCGCAGGTCTGACAGAACTGGTGCCCAGAGGAAAGATGTGTCACCCAGCAGTGAGGACTCTCAGTGGACAGAGCCCACAGTGGCTGGAAGCGAGAACACTAAGGACATCCGGCTCTAGGACCTGAGCCCCTTAGGCTTCTGCAAGTTTATATGGAGGATCTGTAGGGATCAGGGCTCATTCAAATGGAATGGTGTTCCCAGATATGGACCATCAGTGGTTTTGTCATTGGAAGAGGCTGACAATACTCTCTCCCTGTGGTCCAGAAAGGCGCCCGGCCCCAGATCCCCCAGTCATCATTTGTATGAGTGAGGAATAAGGTTTTGAGAAAGGGAAGTGTTCAGGGCCTGTGCCGCTGACTCCCATGCAGATAGCTGGCTGTTCCTGCCAAGGTATCTCTGCTGGAGTCCAGTGTAATCCAGTCAGATAGAGAAGTAGGCCCAGAGAGGAAAGTGACTTACCAAGGCCACACAGCAGAATCTGGGCCTGAGCTAGCTGAAGTGGGCGGCAAAGTCACAGGTTGACCAGAGGACTCTGGTAAGTAGCCAGGGCTGAGTTCCCACAGGAATCTTTGGTGGAACTGAATGCCACAGTGGACTCAGCTCAGAGAAGTACCCCCAGGTCATGAGATGAACATCTGGGGCTGATGTCACATGCTCATCTGGCGGCTCCCCTGGGTTGGGACCTGGTTTGAGACTGTAACTTATACTAAAAGCTGTGCTGCTTGTTGCGCTGTGCTGCACTGTGTGGTCAGAGGGTAGAGGCACAGCATAGGAGGCTTTCCACATCTACACAAGGGGCTTTCTCCAACCCATTCTCTTCTGTCACCTGCCTTCCCACTTCAGGGGAGTCTCACCTTGGGAACCCCTCTCCAAATCCCAGGTATGCCCCCACTTTAAAGTCAGATGGCTTCTGCTCCTGTTTCTGTGTAAGACAGAGATGACTCAGGTGGGGTTCCAGTCCTTAGCGTTCCCCAGTTTGGGTGACAACCAGTCGCATGACAGTAAATGTTAAACTGGATCTTCAAGGGAGTTGAGGGACTCCTTACTTGTGGCATTGCCTATTGCCATTCCTGCCATGGCCAATTTCAGATTGTCAGTGCCATGTCATCTCTGCAAAATTCCTGAAAATTTAACAACTGGCTCTTGCAAGCAGGCACGCATTGCTGCAGTGTACCACTGGGTCATGCTGAGTTGCCCAGGGCTGTGGCCAAGGGCCTAGGGAAGGATTCCTGGACCAGGGCACTCCTGAGATGAGGCTTCTGAGAAAGGCAGCTCACAGGAACACCAGGTGCAGGACACATTCTGAGCAAGGGCAGGGGGCCAGGGAGCAAAGACAACAGCAGGCTGGGCAGCTACTCAGGCTCGATACAGAGATGAGGCTCCCTCCTTGCCCTGGTTACAAGGATTCCTTTGGCTGAGGTACATGTGAGTGAGACTCAGTCCTCTCCCCACCCAGGCCTTGGCCTTCTGAGAAAATCTCAAATTCCAGGCATGACGGTTGGTATTCCAGCTGGGGCAGGGTTTAGCACGGGAGAAGTGGTCTCACCTGTGGCCAGTGTTGCACCTGGCCAGGACTACTCTGGGCTAATTTGTGGAGCTCAGATGGATAGGACTCTACCCTGGCCTTTGGGCAGGGATAGGATGAAGCTGACTAGCCTCGCTTTTGACCTAAAGGACAGGGACTTCTCTCCCTCTGGGTGAGCCCTGCCCTGTGAGCCCACTCTACTCTAGAGAAGGTCTCTCCCCATCTCGCCTCCTCCACCTGCCTCCTACCACATCTCCACCTTTCCCACTTTGCTTTATCAAAAGCAGGGCATCCAGCCCCAGGGGTTGCTCTATTTACATTTTGTGTGGTTGTTGTTGTTTTGAAACAGGATTTTTCCCAGTTTGCTATATTACCCAGGTTGGCTTTGAACTCCTGGACTCTAGTAATCCTCCTGCCTCAGCCTCCTGAGTCATTGGGACTACTAGTAGATGGTTGCTTTATATAGAGCCTAGTTCCACAACTCCCTCAGATGACAGGGATTCATCCCAGGCCATAATATGATTATTCTGCATTATGTAATTCTGGGTGACCTGTCCAGAACAGTGTCAGATGCTCACCTCCCATATTCTAGGTTCTATATTTCTGTTAATGTAGCTAGAGACCCTCTGAGCTTTCTTGGTAACTACCTCTTACAGAGTATCCTGGGTCTTTCCTGCAGGCCAGAGCCTATCTCTTTCCTACCACTTGCTCCTCAGGCTGGACCCCATCCCAATTTACAGGGAGCCTCTTTCCAAGTGATAAGCTCTGATGAAGTGTAAAAGCTGAGCTCTGACCCTCTCAGCCCTTCTGGGACCTGGAGGCAAAGATTTACGCCATGACTTTGGGGCCCTTTAGTGTACATCTGTGGTTGGAGAATGTGCTATGGCCACCACAGGCCAAGTTCCTTAGTCCCTACCCCTCTCATGTCCTGCCCCCTACCCCTCCTGTAGCTGCCCTACAGACCCTGAGAACCTAGTGCTGCAGAGGACGGGGACAACGGTATGGCCTAAGCCAGGAAGCTTTCCTTGGAAGCTTTTCCTTGCAGATTTCCAAGGACACAGGATGTAGGGGACAGCAGGGCTTACTCGCCACCTAGGCCTATGGCAGGCATGGGTCGAAGTGGGGAATGGAGACCCAGGGGAACCAGGAACAGGCCCAGGGTCCCAGCTCTGGACTGCCTGGCCTCTCAGTGTGGACATCTGGCCTGGTCGTCTAGAGGGTGAGGCTTCTGATCTTGCCGCCTTGTGCTATTTTCAGCCCAAGCAAGACCAAGATTTTCCACTGCTGGCCCTAGACCATTGTCTGACGTGGGGTGACCTGCCCATCCTCAAAATATCTCCTATTGCCCTCCGGACCTCCCTTGCCCCTTCCCACCTCCTTACCCTGACATCACTTCCTAAGGCTGTTGACCCTTAAAGGCCACTATGAAAGGGCACGAGTCATCCAGGCACCAGCCATCAGCCAGTGAAGGACCCCAGGGATTATCCAGCCAGCTGCAGACTCGAGGCCAGAGAGGGGTGGGGCCTTGCCCAACTCACCCAGCAGGTCATTGTGGTGCCTGGACATGAGCCACAGGCCCAGGCTGCTCCTGCTGCTGTGCCGCCCCCTCCAATGCAGGTCAGAGCCTTTGTGGGAACCCTGTGTCACCTGCACTGCCTGGCCTCCATCTACCCAGGCCATGGAGCTGAGGCTAGGGATACGGTGCAGGGTGGGAGGAAAGTGAGGAGAGAGTCAAGTGGTGGGCAAATGAAGCTTTCTGGCCTCTGCAGCAGCTGTCCTCAGTGAGTTCCAGGTGACAGCATGGCCTCTGGCACATAGGCTCTCCCCTGGGTAGCAGAGATCCCCAAGGCCAAGAAAGAGGGGAGAATCCCAGAGGACACACAAACCCTCGCCCTTCGAGGCCAGGAGAGGGGCTGGACAATATGCTGTCCACACAGAGTTGCTCTAGGTCAGGCCACTACAGTTGTCCCTCTGCTGCCCTTGTCATGGAGACTTGGGCTGGTTTGCTTAGAATCAGGCACATGGGGGAGGGAACTCACGTAATGGTCTATGTCCCACAAACCACGCAGGACTCTCACATGTGTCATGTGAGTTGTTCTTCACACTCACCCTGGAGAGCAGGCATTATCCTCCCCATTTAACAGCTGAGAACATAGGGGAGGACATTGAGGAGCACAGGCTTGCTCCAGGTGACACAACCACAAGTGGGTGAGTGGAGAGGAGCCCAGGCCCCCTGGTGTCTGATGAATTCCCTTTGCAGTGGTCCACACCACTCTCACCCCTGCAGAGCAGGAGGCTCTGCAAGGATCCTTCCTACAGCTCAGGACCAGAGTGGCAGTGTAGTGAGGACACGTTGAGAGCAGATCCTGCACTAAGACCATCTTGGTTTGAAGGTCACCTCTACATTCCCAGCCGTGCAGTTACTCAGTCTTGCACCACCTCAGTTTCTCATTGATGAGATGCTGCCTCCCACAGAGGGCATTGGGAGGCTCGCTTGACTCAATGCACAGGAAATGCTTAGCACAATGCCTGGCATTTCCATGCTAGTACTGTGCCAGGGGTTACCAAGGCAAGCCAGTGGGGCCCTGTGTTCCCAGAGCTGACATAATTTAATATGTCACCACACTGGGATAAACATTTTGAAAAAGAGGCCAGTGTACTTGGTCACTGAGCAACACGGGATCTAACAGCTCCAGGGGCCCCCCTGGTTGTGGGATGGGGGAAGCAGGTCCATCCTGGGTAGAATGGGGCCCACCTCTGCCCTA